GACCCTTCCTCTTGCTCTCGCGCTATGTAGGTGGTGACCGTGCATGCAGGAGGTGTCAGAGAAGGAGGATGTGCAGGTGAAGCTGCGCACGCTCGGCGTGCAGCTCGACGGGAAGCGAGAGCAGATAGAGAGCAGCAGGACGGGCGTGCAGGCACTACGCGCCGCCTGTAACGGGACCTCACCACCGCCAGGCTGCAGTCACGCAGGTACGATAGGTCACACAGGTGCGAGGTAGGTCCGCTAGGTGGCGATTGAGTCACGCGATAGCGTCACGCAGGTACGATAGGTCACGAGTACGATAGGTACGCAGTACGATTAGGTCACGCAGTGTGCGATAGGTCACGCAGGCTGCGATAGGTCACGCAGGGTAAGATAGGGTCACGCAGGTACATTGGAGTCACGGCTAGGTGCGATAGTCCACGCATGGTACGATTAGGTCGCGCAGGTGCGATAGGTCACGCAGGTACGATAGTGTCGCTGCAGGTAGGTCACGCAGGGTGCGTTAGTCACGGCGGTGCTATAGGTCACGCAGGTGCGATAGTCACGGCAGGTACGATAGGTTCAGCAGGTGCGATAGGTCACGGCAGGTCACACAGGTGCGATTAGGTCACGGCGGTACGACTAAGGTCGCAGGTGCGATTAGGTCACGCGGTGCGGATAGGTCGCGTCAGCGTGCGAAGGTCACGCAGGTACGATAGGTCGCGCAGGTAGGTCACGCAGGTGCCGATAGGTCACGCAGGGTACGATAGGTCACGCAGGTGCGATAGGTCACGCAGGTGCGACTAGGTCACGCAGGTGCGATAGGTCCACGCAGGTGCGATAGGTCACGCAGTGTGCGAACCAAGCTGTGCGGCCCCACGTCGGAGCACGGCGGCGGGCGCGAAAACGCACAGGCGCTGTCTACTTGTGTTGGTCGGTAGATGGCAGACCTAGTTCTACTGTGTTCATCACTAAATTGTGTAGAAACGCAACAGACGCTGTATCTGTGTTAGACGGTAGAATACCGAAATGGGCAGACCTTTGGTGTACTGTGTTCGTCAGTAGATAAGCGGGAAATGGGCAGACCTTGGGTGTTACTGTGTTACGTCCCTCGCTAGTTGAAATGGGCAGACCTGGTGCGGGTACTGTGTTCGTCAGTAGATAGTCTGGGAATGGGCAGACCTGGTGTTACTGTGTTGTCAGTAGGATAGCTGGAAATTGGGCAGACCTGGCTGTACTGTGTTCGGTCAGTAGATAGCTGAAATGGGCAGACCTGGTGTACTGTGTTCGTCAGTAGATAGCTGGAAATGGGCAGGACCTCGGTGTACTGTGTTGTTCGTAGATAGCGTGGAAATGGGCAGACCTGGGTACTGTGTTCGTCAGTAGATAGCTGGAAATGGGCAGACTGGTGTACTGTGTTCGTCAGTAGATAGCTTGGAAATGGCAGAGCTTGGTGTACTGTGTTCATCACTAAATTTGTAGAAAACGCACAGACGCTTGTCTTACTGTGTTATATTTTATTATTATGTTTTATATATCTATGTGCTATTTAACCTATAGTTTTCTCTTAAAAATGATACCAAATTAAGTGAAATAAAATATGTTAAGAGCAGAATTCCAGCACAGGGCATTAATCCATTGTATAACGAGGCGAGCGTTGAACCTGTTAATGCTACTCGGTCTTTATTATCATGGCTTCGGGCGGCTTCGCTCACTCTGCTGCTTGCAGGGATCTACAGCGGCGGCAGCAGTCTTGGCAGGAGAAAACGCGCCGAGCTTACAGAGCGCTTACCGGCGGGCTAAAGACGACGTCGATGAAAGCCCGCCGCCAGGTGGCTCCACTAAAGAGTGTGAGCGGAGTCGCGCCGATATTTTTGCGATCGTCGTAATCGAGTTGGGAGCGCTTTTCGCGGTCAGTTCGTGAACGAGAAAATCTGTCAAGCCTATCCAGGTGTGATTGTGTTTCGGAGTTTGGATGTCCTTGTTTTGTCCGAGCGAGGGCAAATGGTGAGAGATGCATTCCAGCTGAGGTGCAACAGTATAGTACTATATATAGTATAGTAGGCCCTACTATAGTAATGTATAGTATAGTACAGTATGTGTAAGAGGCGTGTATAGAGTGCTCTTTTTACGCTTTATTGTTCTTTCTGATGTAGCATGAGAAAATACCATCCGCACACGCGCGATCCCGGGCCAGCTGTGCCGGTCAGTTTATTGGCCATAATATACCCCATCCGGATACCAGGTTTAATATTAAGGCATAATAGGACCCTTGATTATACAAATGTTGACGAATGCTTACATAACTGGCACCTTCTGTAAGTTAATAGTAAGCATTACCTTATAGTCAAAGCGCGTATTAGTTTGTCCAATATCAACATGATAATTACTCAAGAATGGTTCTAAGGTTGAATCCGTAAATCTGGGTAATCAAGTGGCGCCCAGGACGGTAAATGGTGGGGCTTGGGCCAGGCAAAATAGCGCTCAGGAATTCGGTTAGGCAACGTCAACATGGTTGCCTACGGGTGTTTTAGCCAGAGAATTGTTTGTCCCGGATGCTTATTATAGACTAATGAGCTAGTAGAATGTATCTCTGGGTGGTATTCTCGTATTGAGGACAAGTAATTAACCGTGGGTGCTAATCGAAGGGTATCCCCACAGATGTCCTCAATTTCAGACACAGGTGTATTCGTTGTACGCAATATACGTAATAACGCGTAAGTGCGTCCTCTGCTTTCCATGTTTAGTCTGTGGCCGTGGTTAGTCCGCGATCCTCCCATAGCGTGGCGGCCCAACAACAGCCTACTCATTCTTCACGAGCGTCACGTGATCTCGTACGATGATTCCACGTTCATTACAATCAAGAGCTACTGTTACGTATAGCAGTGACGGTACTTGTACTATCGCTAAGCATTGCGTACGGGCCGACCGAGCGAACAATGCATGCGTCGTTGCGCTTCTCTTGAGCATGTGCGAAATATGTCCGGTGGACTATAATCTGGTATCACACGTTTCGAAGTTAATGCGGTTTCGAAACTGTAGAAGCAAAGTCAGTCACCTGATTTCGTGGACTGGCGGATTTCAACTTAGACATTTCTTAGTAACCGCAGTGATATTTGGGACAAACTAATACGCGTTTGGCTATAAGGTAATGTACTTATTAACTAAACAAGGTGCTGCAGTTTTACTCTAGGCAATTAGCTGTTAAAGATTGCATAAATGCGATCTGGCCCTATTATGCCTTAACTATGAGAATAATGTCGAGTGAATGCATTGGGTAAGATGGCCTGACAGTCCAGTCTCTATAATATGGGATATAAGTTTAGATAAATGAAATGCCACGTTGTGTTTCTCTGTCTGCATTAGGTCAAGTGGCAGGAATTGAGCGCAGCAAAGAAGGAGCAGATCGAGGCGTTAGAGGAGAATGGCATAATTAGAGCAAGCCAACCAGCGAATCGTTGCAATGAAGAACAAAGCTGCAGTCGGTGAAGGATGTTACTGCCAGCATACAGAGGTAATACCCTCCCAATCAGGGTTCTCCAAGAGCACTTATAGCCTTGCGGCTCCGCCAGGCTATCGTCGAGCCGCCGTCATCCTAAAGCCACGCCGCCACTCTAAATATCATAGCACGCCATGCTAAAATTTGCTAAAAAAATGCTAAAACTAGGACCGTAATGGCAGCCCCGCCATGCTATAATGAAAAAGCTTGGAGAACCTTGCCAATGCACACAGTCGAACTGCATTATAATGCACTAATTAGGGGTGCAAAAATTCAATCGAATAAAAAGCAGTGTCACACTTTAGTGGTGTGATTAACAGTTTACGTTCACTGTTAGTCAGGTGGAAAGTTTATGAATAAAACAATTATTTTTATGCCGTTATCACCCTATTCTGACTAAGACACATGCGCGTAAGATATAAATTAAAATTTAGGTCTAAATTTTTTATTAAGTATATTGTAATTGATAAATGTATGTGACCCAAGTGGAAGAAACGAGCAACAACTCCAAACTTGACAGAAATTGGAGATAAAAGGAGAAAAGAGCCCTGTTAGCTTCGAATTCACATCATTATGTTAATGCCGATTTTCACATCGTGGCCTTCGTAGAAACACTTGCGTAGCGTGCAACACTGCCAATGCTGGGGCTTTTTACTGAATTATGTCCATTATCGTATGCATACTTGTGTATGTCTTTGTGTGCTGGGTGTATGTGTGGATGCGCGTGTGTGTAACCTATGTATGCATGTGTGTGCCGTGCGTACGTTGTATGTGTTGAATTGCCGCGTGTGTGTACGCTATGTATGGCATGTGTGTGCGTGGTACGTGTGTATCGTATGAATCGCGCGGTGTGTGTACCGTATGTATATGCATGTGTGTTGCGTGCGACGTGTGTACGGTGGCTGCGCCGTGTGTGTGCGCTATGTATGGCATTGTGTGTGCACAGGTACCTTATGTATGCATGTGTGTGTTTGCAGGTTACGCTGAGCGCTGGCAGGGAACGGGAGTGGAAGAGAGTAGGAGCAGAGTGGCGGACATTTGCAAGCTCAGCTGGAAGGCAGGCCGCTGCGGACAGCCGGCACCACCAAGCAGCGTATGGAGCGACATGCAGCAGAGCTCTCTCAACAGCAGGATACGCTACAGCGCACATTGCCCACATCCGGTATAGGTGGGCACCCTGATGCCTCGTAAGCCGCTGCTTACCAGGTTCAGTGGTTATCGCAATTTGCAGCTGTTGCCAATCGTTGTCGTTATGTGACATTCTAAAGACAATGCTAAGTTTTGGCACACAAAGTGTCGCAATGGTTCGACGGGATTAGAACGCGCGAAAAATGCATAGAAACATGTGAGCCTTATCGATCTAGCAACAATATGCCAGATGGAGAATGGTTTGTCTTGGCTCAGACAGATCGCTTAATTGTTTACTGCCATGAAACAGGAAGCCATGTATATATTGTGGTCAATGGTCAGGATGTGGGATCAGTATGAAGCAGATTCGGGTACTGTTTTCTGTGATGATGTGTGATGTGAAAGTCGTGATGCTCGTCTAATTTTGCGACAGGGCGGTGAATCACTACCACAGAAAGAAGATGGATGAAGTTAACAAGACCATTAAGGAGCTGTGGATGAGAACTTATAAAGGCAGAGGTAACATTAAAACAACAGTCAGGCCACTCTCTACAAATAAAAATTCAAATGAACTTTATGTAAGGTGAAATGTTAATTGTTGTTAACCGCACCCTAGAATATCTGTAAATGTTTGATCGTTATATTTTGCATACTTATTTAAATGTGTTATTGCTGGTGATGTTAATTCATTATTTGCTTGGCCTCGCAAGAAGATCTATACACTAGAATATCTGTAAATGTTCGATCGTTATATTTTGCAACAACAACAACAATCGTTTTATGGCCGTTTTCCCTGCCTACGCGGGGGTTGGCCAGGAGCTCCCCATGACAGTTTCCTCCACTTTGCATGGTCTTGTGCGTCTTCACTCTTCAACCCATATTCTTTCATATCTCTCTCCACCACTTGGTTCCATCGTTATATTTTGCGTACTTATTTAAATGTGCTATTGCTGGTGATGTTAATTCATGACTTACTTGGCCTCACAGATATAGAGCACATTGAGATAAGGTCGAGTGAGGATGAAGATGGGGCCGGCATCGAGAAATCACGCCGCACCTACAACTACCGAGTCATCATGTGGAGAAATGGCGTTGCTTTAGACATGAGGGGACGCTGCAGTGCCGGCCAGAAGGTTAGGGTGATGTCTTTCCATCGAGTTTACTCTTGTGTCCATGGAGTATGCTACTTTGATGGACACCATGGAAGTGGATGGCATGTATCAAGCAAATATAAGTCGTGACAGTTCATATCTATAAACATCACCCATGGCCAAGCGCGCACACACCACACACGCACAGCACCAGACCAGCACAGCGACAAACGCACCATGCACAC